CGCCTGGCTCACACTTACCGCTAACTTCTTAACTTTTCGCATTTGCTGATGTAATTGATGACTTTATTTCTGTTTATCGACATGAATAGGGTGCTCAAGGGCGAAAGCCTCATTCCCTTAATAAACTGACTTAAACTGACAAACTGACTTAAGCCACGTTTCTGTGAATGTCATAATGTCTGCCTTAATTTCATCAACTAAGTCTCTTAGTTCGTCTAGTTTGTTGAAGAGGCTTTGCACATTTGCGGATATAACCTTCAATGACTGATTCGTTGAAGAGGCCCGGCCTTCAATGTGACGGGTTCTGACCACAGGAAAGACCCCTTTGTCTGGACTATTTCGCCATTTTTGATCTTCAGCCCTTTCTCTCCTCTGCCAATTCTCTCTCTGCCAATTTTCGACGAGTCCAAACTCCAGAAAGACAAGGATGACCGATGACGAGCCAATTCCAACCGAATTCGAACGACGAATTCAAATAGTCGTCATATACCGTTTGTCAATCTACTTACTTCTCTTTGTCATGACCATTTATCAGTGATCTTTATTTATTTTGATCTTAGTAAAGTACCACATAAAAGACTCTTGGTTAAATTGGCAGCTCTGGAAATTCGCAGTCCCCTAATAGACTTTATCAAGTCATACCAGTCTAATCGTAAGTTTTAGTGGGACCCGCACTTTCCAGTGAAAGCCCTATTATAAGTGTTGTCCTACAAGGCACCGTTTTAGGTCCTCTTTTGCTCCTGCTTTACACAAATGATATCTCGTCAGCAGTTGATTATTCTCGACCATTTATTTATGTCGATGATCTCAAATGTGTATATTCTTTCAATAAATCTACGAGCCTTCATTGCCTGGAGCAAAGCAATGCTGATTTGCTTGGTCTCTCGGGCTGGAGCTCAAAGTGGCTAATGAAATTCTCTCCGTTTAAATTTCACTTTATGTGTTTTGGACCTGAGAGGCTACCCCATCCAGTGCTCTTCCAAGACACGCATACGACTGAATGTACCGCCATCAAGGATCTAGATTTACGCTACACCAATAATGTAGATCTCTCGCTACGCGCTGACAGAATTACGGCCAAAGCTGCCCAGATTTGCGGTTTTATTTCTTACAATTTTTATCTCCCTGAAATTAAATTAAGACCCTATCATATGTTTGTACTTCCAATTCTCGAGTATTGTTGCTCATTATTTGGTTCGATGAACGAGGCTAGTCGTTCAAAAGTTGAAAATGTTCAAAGACATTTTACAAGAAGACTTCTAGGTAGGGAACATCCAAATATTTCCTACCTCGACAGATGACAGCTGACTAACCTGTTATTTTCATGTGTGAACCATTTTCACCGCAGTTACACCATCACCATTTTAGGTTTGCGCGGGAAGCGTTACATCGTTCGGAAAACTCCAAGCAGTTAGAGGGAGCCCTGCTAGCACACGGCTACCTCATATGCGGTACTGACAGGGAACTAAGTGTGGCCGTCGCTCCTTCTGTTCGGGGCATACAGAGCATTCAGGATCCAAGCGTTTTCCGAAAACTGGAGATCGGTGTGAGAAACAACTACCCATGCCTTGGCGAACATAGCGTAAAATAGACAGTATTTAACGATATAATTGATCCCTATGTCTATTTCATTTTAGACTAGGATGACCTAAAAACCACAGCTTTGTTTGTGTTGGTTATTTATACCTGCGTTCTGAACGGTGTGCCTATTGCGTGCTCTGATCGAGATTCTCTTGACCTGGTGGCCCGATAATCAATGCTAGCATTTTGTCTTTTATTAATGTCTAACAGTCAACATTTAGAATTCACTATTATGTTTACGGTTTCTGCTCATCATTTATGCCGAATAGTGACATTTCGTGCATTGTAGCAGACTTGGTGATGGAAGTGCAGTTTAACCCTTTGCCCACTATTTTTTGCTGATTATTGGAGGCAGTCATGGAGCGTATGCACTCGAGATACCATCGGAGCATCATATACAGACGCATTATGAGACAAATGAATGAGTATTGCGCGAAAATGGATGAATACGAGTCATGATTTCCATCTAACCGATTAAAAGGAAAATGCCCATACTCGTCACAGAAATTTCTACTGGTAGGATTTTCACATGTCTATGGAATATTGGGTGCCGAATAAGTGACGAGCGTGAAGAACACAGGCACAGTTGAAAGCAGATGTGATCATGGGGATCTTCAAGAATTCACTATAGAGACACAAATACCTCTCTCCACGGCTGGGAAGTTGCGGCCCTTTCATCCTGAACTACGAAAAGATCTGAGGACGCTACTGCGAAAGCCTCGAGCGTGCATGGTAAGTCCCTTCAGAACCGGGGTTATGTCCATCTGGGTCTTGCACAGGGTCTGCTGCACGAGCTCGACCTTAGGCCGACAACAAGGATTCCGGAAATCTGCTTGCAGATGCACACTGACGGGATGAAGTTTTATAAGGGGTCTGGACAATGTCTGTGGCCCATACTTTGTCGTATAAGCTATTTAGTTGTTGGACAACCCTTTGATGCCCAGGTGTTCTCCGGTTCAAGCAAGTCAAACCCTGTGAATGACTTTCTGGTCGAGTGTGTGTCGGAACTGAGGGAATTTCCGATTAATGGCCTGCGCATTCCACTGACAGACGACGTTGCGAACGTGGTCATAGGTGCAGCGTATCCTGTCCGGGCCGTCAGGGTATCATGCCACAAACGCGTCACAAGCGAACAATCAAGGTCATGACCCCTGTTCACACCTTCCTTGTGCTGATTGGCCACCCATCAGCCTATGACAGTCCCCCTTGCCACATGCCCGGCCGTTTTGCCAAGCCTCCTCACTTGTGTTGTCTATCGTACTCTGTACACGTCCTATTTTCAATTACCGTTCTGTTTTGCATACAAAACATTGGCGACGCAGCCTAACGAACATGTCTTCATTGTTGCCTACGCCGTTACCTTTCTGGCCAAAGAACACCCAGAAGCCCTTAAATGACTCGTGGTTGCAATGGAGGAAGACATTTGAGGATTATATTAAACTTCTCCCGATTTCGTCACCCACGATTGTACTAGACGTCCCATCTAAGTTGAAACTTCTCCGGACGAATCTCGGAGAGTTAGGACAACGATATTTCGATGCCCTCAATCTACAAAAGGCTACAGATCTCCAAACAGCCTTCTCAAAACTCGAGTCAGCGTGGGGAGGAAAAGACAACGTCTTTCTCAGTCGCTATGGGTTTTGTCAAATGCGTCAAGAATCCAGTCAATATGTCGGTTATTTTATTACTAATCTGACTCTGGCTATCCAGGACTGTGGGTATAAAGAGATCAGGGCAGACAACTTCGAGCACGCAATGCTTGTTCAGCAGTGGATTGTCGGTCTGCGCGATGAAAAAGCTCGGGAAAATCTTTTATCAGAGAAGAAGGATTTGTCATGGGAGAAAGCCTGTGATATCGCCAGTCATCGGGAGCGCGTGCGACAAAAACTTCAGCAGCTGAATCAGTCAAACGATGGGGTGATAGCATCCTTGGAATCTGAAATGGCTGTCTCCCTAGTCAACGCTGCTGTTTCTTCACCTAAACAGCGATCCTCCGCTCCCTCAAAAAATTGCCATCCTGCCACCGTTGTGATCGGCATTATGTCCGGTGGTCAGACTGTAGACACCAGAAGACGGTATGCCAGTTTTGCAAGAAAGTCGGCCACATCGACCGAGTGTGTTTCTCCAAAAGATGCGCGAATACTAACACGCATGCGACCTACCCTAATCCAGCTGGGGATGGCGAGTCGATACTCCGAATGTTTTCGGCCAACGCGCCACTCCAATCGCCTTACACCATCACGCTCCCGGTTGATCACCACCCCGTGAAGTTTGAAATCGACACTGGCTCAGCTGTTACTCTCATCAATGAGACCTCTCTTCAGAAATTACCCTCCCTCCTTCCGGCTAGCTCAACATTCCGTGGTTACACTGGACAGAACTTAAATGTTCGAGGGGTCTTTACAGCCGAAGTCGAGCATGATGGAGAACTTCCTTACTTGCTGGTTCATGCGCTGAGAAGAATCCAGCAACCAAATCTCCTTAGACGAAATTGGATTAAATGTGTGCTTTCTGTGCTATCCTATGTACATCGGATTGGTGTAAATCCGGCTTTAGATTCAATTTTTGTAAATCATAAAGATCTATTTCGTGACGATTCTGCTACCTACTACCGCGGCCCACCTGCTAAGTTTCAGTTTCAGTCAGATTTCCGGTCCCGGTTCTTCAAAGCTCGTACAGTCCCCTATGCAGTCGCACCGAAGTTCGAAGAAGAGCAAGATCGTCCACAGAAAGCGAATTTTATTGAGCCCGTGCAATATTCGGAAAGGGCAGTCCCAATAGTTCCTGTTCTTAAAACCGATGGTTCTGTGCGTATCTGCGGCGACTGCAAGCTGACAATCAACTCAGCAACTAAACTGAACCCTTATCCTCTCCCGCGCATCGAGGATCTGTACGCATTTCTCTTGGGTGATCATCAGTTTACAACTTTGGACCTAAAGCATGCCTACAACCAAGTCGTCCTGTATACTGAATCCCGAGACGCCACCACCATCAATACGCATCGGGGTTTATTTCGATATAAAAGACTACCATTTGGAGTAATTTCGCCCCCCGTTTTATTTCAATGCTTGGTTGATATCCTCGTGAAGGATATACCCCACGTTTGCGCATACCCTGACGATATATTAGTCGCCGGCCCATCTGAACATAGTCATCTAGAGATTCTAAGCATCGTGTTAGGACGTTTAGAAGAAGCAGGTTTTAAGCTCAGGAGAGAAAAGTGCACTTCCCTTGCCGACTCGGTAGAATACCTGGGCTTCAGGGTGGATAAAACTGGCCTCCATCCACTCAAACATAAGCTCAAAGCCTTGAAGGCGGCGTCGCGCCCCAACAATACTAGTCAATTGCGTTCATTCTTGGATTTGGTCCCCACTTTAGTCGCTTTATTAATCAGTCGGGTACGATTCTAAAGCCCCTTTATCGACTACTTGAAAAGAATCGCTGCTGGAATTGGTCGGAGGTCGAACAAAGTGCTTTTGAACAGGCAAAGGCGGCTCTTACCTCCTCATCTGTCCTAGTTCACTATGACCCCGAAAAGCCTATCATACTGAAATGTGATGCGTCTCCGTACGGCGTAGGTGCGGTTTTCATGCACCGAATGCCTTCTGGTGCGGAGATGCCGATTGTCTTTGCATCAAGAACCATGTCACAGGCGGAAACCAACTATTCACAACCAGATAAAGAGGCCTTGGCAGTAATGATTGGCCAACATCGCTTCCACCTGTATCATTTTGGCCGACCCTTTGAGATTCACACTAATCACAAACCCCTCTTAGGTTTGCTGAGAGAAAAACGAGGGATACAACAGATGTCCCCGCCGAGAATGTAACGATGGGCGCTCACCCTGTCTGCTTACACGTATGTAATGCAATACGTTACTGGTAGTGCAAACGTAGTGGCTGACGCCTTTAGTAGGCTTCCTATTGTGGACGATGACAGTAACGGGGCACCTGTTTTTGAGACCGTGAATCTTTTGCAGAACCTAGTCAACGTACCTGTAACCTGTCAACAAATTCGACAGTGGACATCGAGAGACCCACTCCTAAGTCGGGTAAAAAGAGCTCTACAATCTGCCTGGCCGTCCTCTACCTACTCTGATCTTCAACCATTCTTTAGCCGTCAGAACGAGTTAAATTTACAAGACGGATGCATACTATGGGGCAATCGTGTAGTTGTGCCACCATAAGGCCGACGGCCCAGCTTCAGATAAATGCATAATAGAATAGAATAGGTTTATTGTGGCACCCCTTGGGCACTGTCAGTCCCCTTGTTTGGTGGCCCAAAACTGACGCAGATACATAAAACGTGGTGAAAGCATGTCACGTGCGCCAAATAACACAGAAAACCTTACCGAAGGTTCCTCTGAAGCCCTAGGACTGGCCTGACTAGCCGTGGAAGAGGGTGCATGTCGTTTATTTTGGGCCATTCCAAGGCCGTATGTTTTTGGTGGTAGTTGACGCCCACACTAAATGGATCGATGCGATTCCGACAGGAAATTCTTGTTCTTCACGGACTACAATCAACAAGTTGCGAACCGTTTTTTCTACTTTGGGATACCTGAAACGGTCGTTTCAGACAATGGCCCGGCCTTTACTAGTGCAGAATTTAAAGATTTCATGGAGAAAATGGAATTAAACATTTAAATACTGCCCCGTACCACGCTGCTTCTAATGGCCTCGCAGAGCGTGTAGTCCAGACAATAAAGCACGAACTAGACAGACAGACAGAAGCGGACTTGGCCACAAAGTTGTCACGCTTTCTGTTCAGCTATCGCATAACACCAAACGACTCAACTGGTGCTTCGCCTGCAGAATTAATGTTCAAGCGGCAGTTGCGCACACGACTCGACCTGCTTAATCCATCAACGCATGATAGAGTCATTGCAAAACGGACGAAGATAAAAGCACGATATGATGTGAACACCCGACCACGATTCGTCGTACCTAACGAAAGTGTTTACACGCGACTGAAACACGAAACGAACTGGTCTCCAGCGGTAGTTAGAACAAGCGAGGGGCATTAGAGTGGAATTAGAGTAAGAAGATGGGAGAATCGTGCGTCGACATCTGAACCAAGTTTGCAGCCGAACGGACACAGCAAATGGAGAGTTCGGAAAGTTCGAACTGCCAGCAACCCTTGGTAGGGATCCTGACATCCCGAGGACTGAACATCTACTGCCTGCACAGAGCACTCCGCCACCGACCGAGGCGTATGTTCCTCCTCCTCCTCCTCCTCCTCCTCCTCCTCCTCCTCCTCCTTCTGCCCCGGCCAGCACTAGCTTAGGAGCAGAGGAGCCATTGACTGCACAAAGCGGCGCAGAGGTAGAAAATATCGCCCTGAGGTGGACCCAAATCCGCAAACCTGTCCAACGCTTTCAGGACGAATCTTATTAGAACATTGTCTAACTATCCACCATTACCTTTACTGTTTCCCCTGCTCCCCTCCCCCTCATGCCCTCCTCTTTAGGGTGGAGAGATGCAGCCTATCCTGTCCGGGCTGTCAGGGCATCATGCCAAAAACGCGTGACAAGCGAACGATCAAGGTCACGACCCCTGTCCACACCTTCCTTGTGCTGATTGGCCACTCATCAGCCTATGACAGTCCCCCTTGCCATATGCCCGGCCGTTCCCCCAAGCCTCCTCACTTGTGCTGTCTATTGTACTCAGTACACGTCGTTTTTCCAATTACCGTTCTGTTTTGCACATATAACAGTGGGTAATGTTATCTGCCCAGCCTTACGTGAGGCAAGTAAAACCCATAATGGATATTATGGATGCGACAGGTATGTTGTTACCTACAGGTAACAGCAATCTGTGAATGTGTTTTCATATGGAGATCCCCGTTACCAACCGTATGACACCTCCCACTTTCAGCAGTCGGTTACGGGACGACAGGTCATTTCGACTGCGAACCCGGACACTGCATAACACGGGCAGGTCGCTTACGATCTCCTTCGATCAAATGGTTCGCTGACACAATGGCTTTTATTTTCACAGGAACCAGCCATGGGAAAAGGAAGTTCGCGGTTTGCACAATGAGTACGCCCAAATATAACCATTGGAGACTTTCGTTCTTATTGCACATATTCACCGTGAGTTTTAAATTATTTACGTGTAAACAAATTTTCTCTTTAATAAGTGTCTGTTGCATTATGTTAAATAGTGGGGGCCGCGCAGGATTCCTTTAAACTATTATAGTTAATAGGCGGGCTCACCTGGAGTACGACGTTTAGGGGCTTCGCTGCGTTCAGTTTAAGTGTGATACAGTAACGTCATTCGAAAATGCGTTATGCACGCAATAATCGATATTGTTGGAGAGTGCTTAAACCGACGTCGAGGAAACATTCCCTTTGCGCAAATTGTTTGCGGTGACTGTGCTAGAGTGGGCTGATGAGTTATATGTTATATGGTGAGTTCGAACGTGAATCCGAGACGTCTGGCGAATAAAGCTCTTGTTCCAGCGATGGCTTTCACTTCTTATCAACTAGTTTCTGGAAGTCCCACCTTCACTTGTATCGGCAAGTTATATGCCCATCCATTGACAGCCATAACTCGGTAGAGCAGTATTTAAAAAATAAATTTAAATTAGAAATTAAATTTTCGATCTCCGAGGCATTTACCTTTTTTGGAATTCCTGTCCGCTGGCCGGTCTTACGACCTGCGGTTAGTAGGAATTGCAGTTACTTTAACAGTAACCTCGTCTTCATAAATTTACAACGGGATTTCAAAAGAAAAAACAAGCCTCTTTTGTCAGCTCCTCAGTTAACAGCTCGACGTTACGCTATTTGTTTCTTACAGTTGGTCTGGTTAAAGTACTTTTTCCCATACCATTGACTATGTTGCACATTCTATAAATTACTAATGAGAGTCTATAAAACGACTTGGGAACATTGTGCAAAAGCCGGTCACAAGTGGAAATAGAACACCGCCACCACCTTGGCGTGACCAAGCAGGCAGCCAGTAGACTATAGGCGCACTGTGCACGGCCTGAAACAAATGAAGTAGTAAGCATAATTCATAGTAAAAATGACTGCAACTATTTGTAGTTCGCTAGCAAACCACCTCCCGCCGAGTGTGCAAGGAGTTTAATAAATTTGATAAATGTCAAATATGAGAAGGAAGCTTGTGAGACATGCTTCGGAGCCCTTTAAAAATCTCCGGGAAGGGAGAAGGTGATTAGGTGCCCGAAAACTGAAATGGAGAAGTTTTGAAATTCCTCCGCTACGTACCTAAAGTGCAAACATTGCTAATATCCGAAATCCAGAAAAAGGAAAGAATGTATGCTGTCACAGATTCCTCAGCTGCGTCAACTGAGAAGGGAAATAGTGCGTCTATGAGACTCCATGTGAATGACAGTCAGTGTCTAGTGCGAGTAAAGCTTGAACGGACGAGACCGAGGGAGAAAATATCTCGGAGCACCTAGAAAAACACAGACGGTCAGATAAGGGAACAAAATTTTGGGACGCTGCAAACAGAAATCGTGCCGCCGAAGGTGGAGAATGACCAAAAGACCGCAGTAAGCGCAGATTCATACGTTAATTCTACTGAACCAAATCTCCGTACATCAGAGGATGACGGTGGTCGTGATATCCGCGAAGAAGTCTGCGCAAAAGAGTAAACCAAAAGTCCCTTGATTTGATCAGAGCCAGTGCATTGCAGTAGAGGTCAGCCTGATTTTGCTTCCGACATCCCAAAAGACAGAACCTATAATGACGAAGAAGTATTTTATTAATGTCTAAATCGGTTTTAAATGGAGAGGAGAAAGTCACCGCATTGAAGGTTTTCAGGATGGGCCTAATAAAAGATATAAAAAATGAGTTAGACCGACCGAGACTGCTAAAAATTGTCTTCCTGAATTAGGAAAAAGCTCAGCTACTGTAGAGCAGGAAATCTGCACGCCAAAATGCCCACGTAGCAGTTTTTCGGCGCGATATTTTGCTCGAGAGAGAGAGGAATTAAAAGGGCTCAATGCAGAGGTCCTTATGATGTCAAGCATGGGCGACAGAGAGAGTCATAATTGTCCAGAGGTCATTTCTCTATAGAAAGCTCATAACCCTAACAGCCTAGGCGTGATGGACAGAAGTCCATTTCGATCAGATCCAGCCGGCTTTTACATTCTATCCCAGGAAATGGACAGATCACTGTATGCCGGGGCTACTCAGGCAAAATTGAGATTTTTGTATACTAATGCTGAAAGTCTCTTTGCGAAAATCGACGGACACAAAACGCTGGTTTCGTAACAAACCCCGATGTAGCTGCAATATCGGAAACCTGGCTCAAAGCCTAAATGCCGAATACCGAGACACAGGGTTACCAGCTTTTCCGCAGAAACCATCAAATAGACATGGTGTTGGGGCAGTTCAGTTCAGTGTCCAGTGTTTTTGAGGGAAATAGGCCAACGCCTTTAAATTCCCAATTCGTACATGAAGATTGTAAGAATTAGCAACAATATGAAGAAATTCCAGCAGCAATGAATGCAGACATCGATTCACATAGGGCACAAGTTTTTGTGGTTACACAGTCACATAGTCCGCTTGCTGGTGCAACATGTGTCTGTCAAGCCGGCGTTTAAATGTCTCCACAAAATGAGACATTACAATCGCCTCAGGCAAGTTTAAGAGAAAACTACTTCCTGACATCCAATCTCTTCTTTGGGGGCATGTAGTTTTAAGGGATGTCTATGGATGTAACTTGTAGTGCGCTTTGATTGCTTTTGCTCCACGCAGACAATATCGGAACAACCGATGAGGAATTTCAAGGGGATCTGGAGGACGACTGGAAAGCATTAAGGACGATTTCACTTGATCTGATTCGTCGCTTTTATCCTGTTAAGATAGAAAAAACCACAAGTCGACCTGCCCGGTCAACTGGGGACCTAAACTGACAGTTAAGAAAGAAAAATTAAAATAGATCATTTTAGGGGAAACTGGATCATCAGTTCAAATCCACGAGTTTTGTGTTCAATTAAATGCCGTTAAAAATGTACGTGTCAATCAGGGAGGAAATATGAATCCAAAATTACCCGGCAGGCTGCACAAAACCTAAGGTTTTATTCCACAATATTTACTGTTAACTGAAAGACAAGGACCCAGTCGCAGTAATAACGGATGATAATGGTGAAGAAATAGCTGAAAACGGTAAGAAAGCCAAGCACTTGAGACGGTAATTGGCCGCGGTATTCACTAGCGACACGGAGCTTCAGGACGCCAATACTAGAAATGGTGTTGTAAACGCCGGCCCCGTGCTTGAATCCTATGTATCTTTCTCGCTGCTCTGAGTATTCGTATCCACACAATTTGGCTTTTTCTAATTTCAGCTTGGGTGAGATCAATGACCCGTTTATCAACTCACTTTAGACCAGATTAGCCTATAATTATATCTAGAGTTCCACGTTACCCCGTGTTTGCTACTCTCAACGTCTTCGGTCGCTACAAGGCAGCGTGGGTAGAGGTCGCGTTGGCGGCCAGGACTCCACCAATAGGAAAGTGGAACCCGGTGAACGAAGTCAAAGCTGGTGTGTAACAGCAAGAATTCTTGTGTTTGTGCATGTCAGACACGATGCATCAGAAAACTGTGACACGCCAGCGTCTGGCAAGACAACCTCTTTGTTATTTGATTTTCGTGTACCGCCAAATCAGATTAACATTTTACACCGATGCTTCCTAAAGCAGGATAAGAACATCGGCAGATTGAATGTTAGTTACAAAGTTCATCGTTAAAACTGCAGGAAGCTAATAAGACTGAAACAAAAGAAGATGTCTATTTTGCGGAAACAACATATGCGACAGTATTGATAAGCGGAAATTTCCAGACGTTCGGAGATGTCTGTCATAGGTGTCCTTCATTTTTATGGACGTAATTCGAGAAACAGTGTCTACGATTAACGGGAACAGAAGATGGAGCAACGGATTCGTTTCGTAAATGACTCATTGGGTTATGACCTATAACATTAGCTAAATGACGCATAGTACGATCTGTCAGTCAATCTTTCGTTAAACTACTTTCCGCCCAATTGAAATGTTTTTACAGCTCATTCGTCGCCAGCATTTACTCTCTCTTCTACTGCATATCCATGAGCGGTATCTATTTGTTGTCCCTTTGATGTGTTCCTGTAGTAAATTCGTTACTTATTACATTGTTGTTCTACCCCGTTTACTCTTTATAATGTCCGGCCGTATAAGATAGATTCATACGCATGTGCCCTTTGTCTAGCTTTACCGTTCACCACAAGGTCATGAGTTTCGTAACAAAGCTTGATCAAGCAGCCCCACATTACCAG